AAAAAAAAAAAATCAAATAACGATACTAATAAATATATATCATTTATTTTATTCCTAAACAGTTAAATAAGAATTCTCATTACAACAATCAGAACTGACTTGACATTGAGTTTCATCACAACACTGTAACGCATGATCCTTTTCAAAAGCACCTTGAAATTCGTTTGAACATAATTGATTTTGATACAGCTCTTTTTTTGGCTTATCACAGCATTTCAACTTTCCACATCGTAATGGAACGACGTCACAGGAAATGTCGCAGGGAATGTCGTAGGAAATGTCGCAGGGAATGTCACAGGGAATGTCGCAGTCGCAAAAGTCATGGGGAATGTCGCAGGGAAAGTCATGGGGAATGTCGCAGGAAATGTCACAGGGAATGTCGCAGGGAAAGTCACAGGGAGAACCACAAAAACCGCAGGATGGTGCAAAGGCTCCACAATTATTACAAAGTGGATTCAACAATGTAGATTCTACAATTGGTACTTTACAACGTTTAGATAATTGCATGCGACGAAGATTATTTAAGTTTGGACCAATGTATCTCTTATTTTTAGAAATGCTCTTAATACCGCCATTTCGAGAACGATTTTTTAAGTCACGACGATTATTGGGTTTATTGTATTTTGAATTTGGGATTGAATAAGCAAGGAGAGATGGAATTAGCACCGAAAGAATCAAAAAAGTTGAAAGGAGACTGTAAATTTGATGCATTTTGTTTATGAGATTGTTCAAAAGTTAATCGTTGGATTTGTAAAAGGAAAAGATATTAAGTTGCTTTGGTTATGAATCTAAGGAATGGTCGAAAATTGCGACTTTAATATTCTTTTTTTTTCTAAAGAAAATTAATAAATCTTTGTTATGATAAATTTATTGAATCTTTTCAATTTATTAATTTTATTTATCGTTATTATTAATTCAGTGATGACTTATAAATCTCATGCATTGATCAAAATTAATTGATAAATTCTATTATATATCGATATCGTGTTTTACATCAATATCAGATCACGTGAGAAATTTTATTCCCTGATCTCGCTAAACCATGAAACCAATGTTATAGCTGCTTTCAAAAAGGTGCAAATACCGTATTGTCTCGAAATAACGCCCCGGGGTGTAGGTTAAAATTTTGGCCCGAATTAGGCTTAATTCGCCCTAAATGAAGCTTAATTCGGGCCAAAATTTTAACCTACACCCCGGGGCGTTATTTCGAGACAATACGGTAACTATATCATGGGAAATTCACGAAATTACCCAGATTTCCAAAACTTTTAAAGCCAGCTCTAATCGGATCCTCAATTTTACTAATGATAAGTTCCCAATTCTTCGATTCCCCACATAAGTATGTGGAAATCGTTGTTCACACCTTTTTGAAAACAGCTGTAATATGCAAATCCTGGTTAAGCTCTTGACTGTTAGTCGCATACTTTTTGCTGAACAAATAACAATAGTAATAAAATTACCATCTAAAGAGCAAAATTTGCAATTTAAGAAACTTTAATAATGCGTACATATATATATTTTTGTTCTTTGTAAAGCAGAAAAAATAAAATTTTGCGATGGTAATAAAAGAATTATATATATTACTATATAGTATTATTATTATAGTTTTACTGTATAATCTTAAAACAATTATTTACGGTATTCCTCGTCAAGAACTATATATGTGTTTTAGCGTATTTTAATTATAAAGGTTCACCTTATTTCCTCATTTTGTTAATATGCAGCTATTATTATTGAAATTAGAGTGTCCAGACTTACGCGATTTCAGAGATTTTTCAAATGAAAAATCCCTGAAATAACATAATTCTGGACACTAATTAAAATCAAACTATATACAGAAAAAAAAAATCCCAAAATAATTTTGTTTAAAACAAAATTATATTTAACGTTATCAATAGTTCAAGCTAAATACTTGAACAAAACTAATTAATAAG